CCCTATAAGTGCTAGATAATATTTAGGCTTTGATTTGAAACTGAAAGCCACTACCATCATTTCATCTCCAATCCTGGACCTCATTGAGAGTCTGTGTTCCTGAGATCTTACTGATATTTTTGTTACACATATACTTGAAGTGTAAAGGAGAGAAACAAGTGAACAAACCAGTGTGTTTGAATAATGACCTTAACTTCATTCAACAAATATTGATTGAACCAGGCAGCATGAGTGAGATGCCCCTGCACTGTCAGCTCACTGTGACAGTGGCCCTATGTAAATAAGCGTATTCTGCACTGTCATAGTAGTGTGTACCCTGGACACTGTGAGGGGGCTTAGGGTTTCTGAAAAATTTAAGACTGAACTGAGTCATACAGTTAGATAAGTTAGACAAAGCTTGAGGAACAGGGTGTATCAGGCAGAAAGAACAGCCTGTAGAAAATGCAGGGCTGCGAGTTTCCATATTGGGGATATGGTTGAGGTGAAGGAAATAGCCTAGAAAGGCAGACAAGAGGCGGATCCATGGGAGCATTGATCCCTGAAATGAAGGCAGTTCTACCCAGGGGTAAAAGTTTGAAAGCTAACATGAACGAGATTAAAACATATCCCCAGCAAGTAACCTGTGCAGTTGCTTCTAAAAGATGGACTCTCACCAAGCCACAGTAACATCTTGGTTAGCTCAAGCAAACAGTTTACCAGTATGCTTTTTAAAACTCTGATCCCTGTATAGCATGGTATTAATAATAAAATCTTGGATAATCCAATGTGGTTGTCCTTAATTATAAAAGAATCTCAGTTAAAAAAAAAAAAAAAAAAAAAATCAAGCCAGGAGATGGAGATAGTGAAGGTGGTTTAATGTCATGAATTCACCATTGTGCTTGAACTAGACAGCATTCTGCAGCATTCTGTGTGCTTAACAAATATGAGCTCATTTATGACAGCCCTGTGAATATGCTTTTGATCTTCTTGTGGACAGGAAATTAATCTGAATACTATTTGCCCTGAGTCACACAGCAAACAGATGTCAGGGTTAGAATTTGAGATCTGTTGTTCTGACTCCCTAGACCCTGCGAGCACTGTCTGCTGCCTTTGATTAGAGTATCTGCTTTACAGAATTAGTCTAGAGCAGATATTTGGGGCAGTCTTTGAAAAGATGAGAACCCTGTGATATGTGTCAGAGGGGCAGAGGGCTCCTGGCTTTCATGTGTTTATGAGGTCCAGACAGTAAGCAATTGGTTTAGCCTGCTGACCTCAAGGAACATCCGTGGCCTTGCACTGCTGTCAGGCTGCAATTGGAATAGCAATCTCAGGACAGGCGTTTATGAACTCACTCAGCCTTCTTAGAGAGCACTGCTGTAAATTAGTGGTCTTTCTAGATGCTCTTTCCAGAGGGAGAGGCAGTTATTCTCATACAGAGCGGTCCTCCAGTGTCCATTGTAAAAAACAAACAAACAAACAAACAAAAACAAACAAATAAAAAACCTGTCAAGATAGTTTTGATAGAAGCCTTTGGTGAAGAACCCTACCCCCTAGGGAGATAAGCATTATATTTTCTCTATTTTTAGTTTTATCACAAGTGCCTGGAGTAGAGTGAACGCCCATAAATCTTTGACCCGGCACATTGTGAAATCTGACTGCTTTATATTCACGGATGATGGTAATAATAGTCATTAGTATTCATGAAACCCTCATGTGACCAGCCGGCTCCGGTTCCCCAGTGTCACTTGTAAATGCCCTTTGGAGCCAGGCACTGTCTTGAGATCTTCTTGAGGCCCTAATTTGAGGGAAGAGTTTCCTTTTCTCTAATTGTCCTGCTGAGAATCAGGTGAACTTGAGCTTAGCCCTCTCCCAGAAGCCCACAGCTGTGAGTCTCTGAAGGCGGTGCTTCAGTACACCATAGAGACGCTACATTTTTTTTGCTAACGTTAATTACCCTGCTTACCTTACCATGCTCAGTCTGTGTGGTGTAGGCTTGGGAATTGGAAGGTTAGAAGCACAGCTTACCAAGAGAGCAATTGAAGGGATTCTGAGAGGTCAGAGAGATGTGTCAAGGAGGCAAGGTGGTAGTTAAGTTCAGAAAGACGAGTTGGTAAGAAATAAAAGGACTGCAGTTTCAGAAAGGACTTTCTTCAGTCACATAGCTCCAGTTTTGGTAGACTTGGCTGTGTAGTTTAGGTAGAAAAGGGGGAAGATGGATGGGTCAGTGCCTCAATCAACCCACATCAGAGAAGCTTCTTCTAGGAATAGATGGGAATTAACACAGAGACCCACAATTAGACAATGTGCAGAGAGTGAGAGACTTCAGAGCACTCTATCCTAAATGGGATATCTCCATCAAATCCCTGCCCTTCCCCCAAGGACCAGGAATGGAAGCTAGGCAGCAGTGGCACACACCTTTATTCCCTGAGGCAGGTGGATCTCTGTGAGTTCCAGGCTAGCCTGGTCTACAGAACGAGTTCCAGGACAGGTTCCAAAGCTACACAGAGAAACCCTGTCTCGAAAACAACAAAAATAATAAAGGATCGGGGACCCAAAGGTAATGGATGAGTCCAAGGAAACTGTTTTCCAGACACAGCAGGATTGATGTATGTAAGAACTCAGAGACTGTGGTATGATGAACAAGACCTGCACAGGTTCAAGCCAAATAGGGTCCGAGCACACAGGAGAAAGTGGATGTGTAGTTCCATTCTAACCAAGAGGAGTCAACAAAAGGAAAAATCAGTTTTCTTCAGTGGAGTGTCATTGGAAATGTCAGTCACAATCTTGGGCAGACCCAAGCACAGGAATACTCAGAGGACATATAAACAACTCTGGTATTCTTGTGGGCTTTTTGTTTTATTTTGCTTCATTTTGATTTTGTTTTCTGAGGGTTTTTTTTTTTTTTCTTGTTTTTGTTTTATTAGTTTTTTACCTTTTTTATTTTTATTTTTGTTTTTTTTGGGGGGGCATATATTTGATTTTGGTTTTTGAGACAGGATCTTTGTAACATAGGCTGACTTGAACTCAGAGTCCTTCTGCATCAGCTTCTTAGGTATAGAGATTATAAGTGTGAGCTACCACAACCAATTTCTTTTACTTTTTAAGAGCAAAGTGAGAAAGAAATAGGCTTGGTTAGCGATCATAGAACTTGCCCAGAGGAACATTTTCTGCAGTGCCGGGAGCACAGGGAGGAAGTCAGGTGGCAGCAAGCTGTGGGAGATGGTGTCTTAGAGCAGCTCCTCTCTTCTCACCTCATATGCTCCAGAGCCTGCTGCAGGCAGGAGTCAGCCTGTCCCCCATGCACACACTAGTGGTGGGCCCCAAATAAAAGTGCCTGCAGTGGCTTATTTAAAACAGCATGTGCACACTAGGGTAAGACCATAGTCCAGAAGTTTGTAAGAAGAAACTCACTTCTCTGCTTAAAGGCTTTTCCTTGTATCTATCAGATTACCAGTGTTTGAGCTTGATTAGCTGTAGGGTGTATGGTTTTTCTGCCTGCCACCGGTCTTGTCCCGCCGCCACACCAGCCCCAATTAACACACAGAGACTCTGTATTAGGTACAATGCTATTGGCCCGGTACTAGCTTCTTATCGGCTAGCTATGTCTTAAATATTAACCCATTTCTGCTGATCTATGTATTTTCACGTGGTCTTCTCTTACCGGTGAGCCGGCCAGCATTCTGCTTTCTCCAGACCCTCCATCTTGACTCCTCCTTCCTACTTCCTCTTTTGTCCTTCTCTCCTAGTCCCTCCTATCTTCCTTTCCTATTGGCCAACAGTGCTTTATTCATTAACCAGTATGAGAAACATACATACATAATGGCATCTCCCATCAATATGCTTTCTTTATGGTAGTGCCTGATTATCAAACCCATCTCTTGGAAAAACTAAGAGGCCTTGGTGACCTCTGGTTTTTGTGGAAGAAAAAACAAGGAATTGAAAATTAGACAAGTTTGAGTTTGAATCCTGCTATGGTCTTTATGACCCGACCTGAGTTGTCCCTTTTCCTTTCTTTAGTTTCTTTATCTATAAAACAAGAAGGGAACAATACCTACATTGTTTAGAATAGTTATAAAGAAGAATAGAAATATCACTGGGGAAGAGGGCTGGAGGATAGCTTAGGAGGAGGACTGAATTCTATCCTCAGAACCTATATGGAAACTCTAGGTGCTATGGTACATGGATGGCAAAGGCAGAGACAGGAGGATCCCTGAGGCTCACTGACAGGCCAGCCTGGCCTAATTGGTGAGCTCTAGGCCAATGGAAAACCCTGTGTCAAAGGAGGTAGAGAGTGTTTTTGAGTGTGGTACCCAGAAGTTGTCCTTTGACCTCTGCACATTCATCATAGTACCCATGTACACATAGGAGCACTCAGAATTTTAAAGTAGTTTTTTTTTTTTTTTAAGTTAAAAAGACAAAACTGCAGAGATTATTCTCTGTCTAGAACAGTGGTTCTCAACCTCCCTAATGCAGTGACCTTTTAATACCATTCCTCATGTTGTGGTGACCCCCAACCATAAAATTATTTCATTGCTACTTGAAAACTGTAATTTTGCTGCTGTTATGAATCATAATGTAAACATCTGATATGCAGGACATCTGATATACAATCCCTATGAAAAGGTCATTTGATTCCCAAAGGGTTTGTGACCCACAGGTTGAGAACCTCTGCTCTAGAGGGTATACCATAGACAATTCTCCTGAAGAACGATGGCTTACAGGACATCTGATATACAATCCCTATGAAAAGGTCATTTGATTCCCAAAGGGTTTGTGACCCACAGGTTGAGAACCTCTGCTCTAGAGGGTACCATAGACAATCCTCCTGAAGAACAATGGCTTGCAGGTGGCCACAGTTGTCAGTGAGTGAGGGCAGATGTGCTTTGCAGCGATGGGCTGGTGTGTTGATTAGGAGGCCTGCACTGATTGAAATAGGAAGTAGACTTCTAGACACATATCTATTATCCTCCTACCTGGCTCCTTATTGAAGTCCAAATTTTTCCGCTTTGCTTTCCTGCCAGGTGGCTGTTAAAAACAATATTGATGTCTTCTACTTCAGCTGCCTCATCCCACTCAATGTGCTTTTTGTAGAAGATGGCAAAATGGGTAAGTGTGTCCTCCTGTCCTGCTAAATATTCCTTTGGCCATCATCTGAATGGCAGGCATAACATAGCCCTAGAAGTACAGACCATTTTGAAATTTTAAAATGGGTTTAGGATATTCTAAAGCCCCAATAAACAATTGGTCATTGGCCTTTTGTCAGTTGCTATTTTTACTCTGCTATCCCAAATCCCAGAGCCACTTACTTGACTGACCCAGCCCTGCCCCGCGCCACCCCCCCCCCCACACACACACAGGTGAGACAGGGTTGAGGACAGCTGTGAATTCGGTCTTTGCAAGTTATTATCTGTGTGACTGTGGGCAAGATGCTTGGCCTTTCTTTTTTGTTGTCTATCTTTACAAAATGGAAGTTTTTTATTTTTTTTTTTAATGACTTAGTGAAATAGTATGTAAATTTAACACTTACTGAACACTGAATTCATACTAAGATAAGAATTCAGTAATTTGTAATAAACCATTAGTCTTCTGTCCTACCCCAAGGTAGCTATTGGCTTTTCCCTTTCCTTACTTAAGAAACTACCATCCAGGAGGGCCTAGACCCTACTCCAAATGACTTGACAGATTTTGATGATCCCTCCTGGAAGGCATCACCCTCTCTGTGGAGTGGGGAATGGAGGGGGCGGGGGGGGGGCATGGGAGGGAGAGAGAACTGGGATTAATATGTAAAATAAGAAAAAAATTTCATATATATGAACAGCCTTCAAATCAAAAAAAAAAAAAAAAAAAAAAAGAAACCACCATCAAATTGGGTGTAGTGGGGTGCAGTACCCTTTTAAGAGGCAGGTGAATCTTTGCTTTCAAGGCCATCCTGGTCTACAGAGTAGAGTTCCAGGACAACCAGGGCTACACAGAGAAACCCTGTCTGGAAAAAAGAAAGGTCACAAGATGTGCCCAAAGTCACCCAAGTAGGAATACAAAGTGCCCAATCTAAACTCTTAAATGCAAACTTTTTTTCCAGTGTCTATTAGTTCGGTCAATAAGGGCCTACCTAGTATACAGCACCATTGCAAATCGGAAACTTTGCTCTGAGCCTAGCCTGCTCCTAGCAGGCCTAGGGAAAACTGGTGGAAACATCAGGGAACAGAGTACTGACACACCCACTTTTCCCCCTTCCCCATACAGAGCGCCAGGTCTTCCTTGCGACATGGAAGGATATTCCCAATGAAAATGAACTTCAGTTTCAGATTAAGGAATGTCATTTAAATGCTGGTAAGCAATAACTCTTGATTCGTTTTCATTTTAATAAGTCAAATAAAATGTTTAAAACTTTCCTTTCCTGTCCCCACTTTCCGAATTTAACATAATTCTGGTGGATTACATGTTAAATACATTACTTTGCAAATCTCTCTTAAGTACTTGGCATGTTTCCCAGACATAGTGGGGCACACCTGTAATCCAAAAATGCAGGAGGCTGAGGCAAGAGGATTACAAATTCCAGGCCAGTCTGGGCTACATAATGAACCCATTTCTTTTTATAAAACACGTGCACAGCACATACACATACACACAAACAATATTACCCAAGCATGGTGGTGCATATTTTTAATTCCAGCACCACTTGAGTCAGAGGCTGGCAGATCTCAGGAGTTCAAAATCAGCCTGGATGTACATAGTGAGTCTCAGGCCAGCCAGCACTGTACATGACACCTTCTCTCTCTTTCTCAAAATACAAAAAACCAGCCAACCAAACAAAACAAAACTGGATATTATCAATTCCAAAGTTTAAGGCACTAAATTACTTACAAGCTACAAGATTTAAAATATAGAAACTAATCCTAACTTTTAGAAGACCCTAGATTTGTTCTCAGCACTGCAATATGTAGAAGCTGGCCCATGTACTATACTAGTCCTTCAGTAGCAAAAGTGTCAATCATGTTACTTAAATATCCTAGGCATCCAGTAAAGTTGTACTTGAGGACAGCCACCCTCCTCAGGATTGAAAGACTATGTCATCTCTTGGATCAGTGTTTGGCATTGGAGGAAAGGATCTGAGAGCTTATATTGAGAATTCTGCTTATAAATAAAACATTCATCACGGTTGATCAAAGCCTAGCTGGCAACCTTTACTGTTCTCCCTTTTGTCAACTTTCCTATAACAACAATAACCTTTTAAGTCACCATTAATTCCTAAACCCTTTCATAGTTGATTTTGTTGTTATAGTAAAATACAAAAAGAGGTAATACGAAAGGAGAGACAACAGCAGCTGTCCATCCCTAGGGCTTTGTTTCACTGAAATGTTTACTGTTCAGAATGCTGGCTTTTGTAGCAGCCTTCCTTCCCCTCCCACTCAGCACCTTCCTCATTTACCCCTCGCCTCCTCCTCTATATAGTGGTGGTCCTCCTTAAGGGTTTTCAGCCTACTGCCATTCTCTGTTGCATTTGGAGCAGAATACTGAGAAAGGAGACAGTATGCAGTACAGAAAGATGAAAACGCTTTCACTGCCTCATCATTCCAACTTTCTGTTTTTAACTCTAAGTTTTTGGATTTCTGCATTGTATTTTTCTTCTATGTTCAAACAGACCTTTATATGTATGGCTTTTGAAATCCAAATACCAGCATCTTCCTGTGCTGCCTCTCAAATGTGCTGATCCTGTTGGGCCACCAAGACGTTCTGGAGGCTAAATGCCTGCTTGAAGCTTCAGACATAAAAGACAGCCTGGCACCCTTTGAGCATAGATGCTTCAGGCAGAGCTGGCTGTAATAAGGGTTACCTCACATCTCCTCTGCCCCTGGAGAATGTGTGAGGAGAGACTCTCACAGTTTCCTTTTGTGGGTTTTTAAGTAGCTGGCTGTGTTCACCGGTCAGTTACAGTGAACCATATTTAGTGAGCACAGTTCTCCACAGAAGGAACTGTTTCTCAGGAAGTAGGAAGCCTTGGCTGTAGAATCCATGGTGCTGGTGCCAAAACCCAGAGTATGCCCCACTGAGAACTAGCCCCTGCACCATCTGTGGCAGCTGTTCCAACAGTGTATACCTGGGAACACCTGTCCCTTAATAAAAGGTGGGGAAGTTGCCCTGTAGTGATTAAAGTTAGGAAATACAGCATACGGCATGCCTGTGTATTCACACACGGAAAGCTCCGGTAAGTCCTACATTAGATAAACCTATCTGATCTAGTGGTAAGCAAATATATTTGCTTATAGAACTACAGATCACAAGTGCTTGCTGCTAACATCTGGTGGAAAGCCACTGTTCCTTCTCTACAGAGAGTAGGAAATAACTAGGGTAATTGGGAAGCAGTTTTGGTTTTAGGGGTCCTGTGTGAAAAACATGTACTTGCATGGAGAAATTGTCTGTCCTGCTAAAAGACTAGAAAGAAAAGAATACATACTGCACCAAAGCCTGTGGTCCTCCTCTCAGGGAGGCCGTCTCCTCTGATGTAGTCCTCACAGCAGACTGTTTTAAAAACCACTGAGGCCTCACACCAATTCCTCCTGTGTATGTGTTCCAAATGCTGTTGAACCAGTTTCCTGGTAGCACACATGGTGGCAGTGGGGGACAGGGAGCATAAGAAAAACAGCCAGTTTGTCTTCTCCAGCTGCCCAAGGCCATTTCCCATGCTAAATCACTGCTAATCTTCCTAGACCACTTTCTTCAGCTAATCCCTCCTGAGGTATGGAAAGCCTTGGCCTTTACATTTCCTGCCAGTCGTGAGGACTCTATTAACAGGAGCCTTTGCAGGTTTGGTGCCTTCTGATTCAACACCCTGTGTCTAGCTGAGAGCTAAAAATACCATCCTTTCCAGCTGATCTTCCCTAATCACAATAGCACCAACACTTAAAATAGACCTTCTGTGCTGGCGAAGACGTTTGACAGATGGAAAGAACACTCTGGGCTACAGGAAGTCACAGCCTTAAAGGACTCACCAACTTAGCAGTGAGCTTTTCTGTTCCTGATCCATTTCTAGAGAAGAAAGAAACCCTCTGCAAGTCTTAATCAGACCTTAATAAAGATGTCTGTGGTGTGGGTGTTGATGGTATTGCTATTTGTTGTAAATACTAGAAAACTTTAGGTTAAAAAGGCACCAATGGACAAGCCTCCTATTTCCCATTTCTCTAGTTCTTCCCCCCCTTTCTCTATCTTTTTTGTTTATTTATCTATTTTATTTTAAGACAGGATCTCACTGTCTGTAGACCAAGCTGGCCTCTCAGAGATCCACCTGCCTCAGCCTCCAGAGTTTCAGAATTAAGGCATGTGCCACCACTGCCCAGCCATATTTTACTTTTTGCCTATCTTTGGGATTGTTACATATATTGAAACACTACCTTAAGTATACAAGAGGTAGGTACATTTCCATCCATATCTAAAAAGGGGTACTGTGGCAAGCAGTTTGGCAAATCTGTTGTTTGTTTACTATACTCAAGGAACTTCAAACACCTGGTATGTATCTTCACTTGTCTGGCACTGTGTAAAAAGAGCTATTTCTTTAGGCATGGGCACTAAGTGAGAATGAGTTAGATTTCTATTTTATTGTGGCTTTCCCATGCTTTGCAACATTTTAAGAATGGAAACTTTCCTAGTTGGCACTTTACTGTAATTCCCCCCAAAATGATTTTTTTTCCCCTAGTCCTTTTCAGCAGTCTTTTTTTGCAATGTCCTTTTCAGATGAGCAGTTTTGAACTTGCTAATCAATGCCTCAAAAGGGCCCAAATGCAGATTTCCACCATCCATTTTGTATTCCTTCTTTACTCTTATTGTTGACAAAATTGTGACCTTAACTAAAGAAGAAAGCTGAGAGAAGGAAGACCACACCCACATCTTTCAAGAGCCCAAACACCCAGATCCACAAAGAAAATGGATAAGAAGAAATGACATCTTGAAGCAAGTACAATCATATTTGACCATTATCCTACTTTGGAACAGATCTCAGGATCTTGTGCCTGAGCTAGCATCCTTTGTAGACACTGAAGCTGGTGACGTTACATCCTCATTCTCACAATCTCACAACGCCCAGATTCTGTTCCGTATGCCAGTAGTTCAAGTATAGAAAACAAACTGGTATTTTAAGAAGTCTGTTCCAGTGTGGCTGGAAGCTGCCTAACATCTGGCTCTCACTACATCTTTTTCTGCCTCAGCCTCCTGGTTGAGGTATGCAGCACTAGCGTTTGCCACCCTTGATTGGTAAACTTAGCAGAGTAAGTATCCTTCAGTCCTTAAATCCTCAAGCTCAAACCTGAAACTTCAGTGGTAGGTCCTTGTCTGATGCATGCCAGGCTCTGTGTTCAGTGTGTTACACTGCAAAAATTAAATTTTAAAATATGTGGGTGTGGTGACTTGTATCTGTAATACCAGTACTAGGGGAGATGGGGATAGATCACTGTAAGCTGGAAGTAGCCTAGTTTACACAGCCTAGGATATATAATGAACCCCCCCCAAAAAAAACACACACCTTAAATATTAATAATATGGTTTAAGTGACCAGATAAAAATATAAAAGTTGACTCATACATACTTTATTATAGAACCCTCCTTCCATTCAGCCTTCTGATAGAAGTCACAGTACATCCACCCATTCAGCATGAGCACAGGCCCATTCCTTCTCTGTCATCTGTTACACAAATGGTGAGATCACAAGAAGTCTGTAGGCATATGGGCCTCAATACATGGATAAAGAATGTTCACCTATACAACAAGACTATTCAACAAAACACCTGCCTTTCTGGAAAATAGGCAAGCATCTTGAAAGTTAGGCTCCTACTGCCCTGACTCCCTACCATGATGAACTGTGAGCCCAAACAAATCCTTCCTTTCTTTCAGGGAGTGTTGTCACAGCCATGAGAAGAGTAATTACTATGAGTCTTAGTAAATCCTGAGGCCTATCTATTGTGTACTCTTCTTAGGTAACTCTTAAACCAATGATAATGTACCTTATTCTGTTTTCTGTCTGATAATATGACAGACAGGCCCTTCGTTTTGCCTGCCTGTATTAGAGGAGCCCCCTAAAATGTGTGTGTGTGATAGAGTTCATCAGGGAATGCAGGAGTATGTGATGGCTCACAAGAATGTCAGAGAAGGAAATACATTTGAGATATTAACAGAAGTCTCTAAGTTTTGTATCTCTATTTCTAGACACAGTTTCCAGCAAGCTACAGAACAACAATGTATACACTATTGCCAAGAGGAATGTGGAAGGGCAAGACATGCTGTACCAGTCCCTGAAGCTCACTAATGGCATTTGGATTTTGGCCGAGCTACGGATCCAGCCAGGAAACCCCAATTATACGGTAAGGCCTTTCCCAGAATGTGTGGAATATGTTAGAGTTAGAGGGTAAAAACCCTTACATTTATTTCATAGTGCCCTACAGAGACCTGGAGGGAGTACCTCCAACCTGAGATACCCAGAACAAGCATTCAGTAAAGGAGTCCCTAGTTGGCTCTCCTCACTGTAGTCTTCTGGCATTCAGAAGGCATGGTGCTGGGGTGGATCATTTGCATCTGACAATAAGTAGTTCTGCAAACCCATCACTTCCCTGACACAAAGCAATGCTTCAGCAACAATTTGGTGCTATAATAAGCTGTTAAGTGTTTCTAGCAGTGCATCGTGGTACACACCTTTAATCCCACCACTTGGTAATCAGAGGCAGGCAGATTGCTGTGAGTTTGAGGTCAGCCAGAGCTTCCTGAGTGAGACCCTGTCTCAAAATTTAAAAAAAGAGAAAGAAAGAAAAGAAAGGAGAAAGAAAGGAGAAAGAAAGAAAAGGAATGTTTCTGGAGCTGAGAGATGGTTCGGTGGGTAAACTGTAAATAGTGGGTACACAGTGGGTTGCTGTGTAAACACGAGGACCTGGGTTCAGATCCCCAGCACCCACATAAAACCTGGGCCTAACCATACAGGCTATAAACCCAGCATTACAGGAAGGGGAGGCAGGAGGATCTCTGGAGCTTGCTAACTAGCCAGCCTCCTGTATGCCTTGAGGATGTCTAGACCTAGACACTGCTACTTCAAAGCCATGAGTTGAACAAGTCACTAGTTAATTATTCTTTTTGGGGGCCTAGGGGGTTGAGACAGGGTTTCTCTGTGTATCTTTGTAGATCAAGCTGGCCTCTAGCTCAAAGAGATCTACCTGACTCTGCCTTCCAAGTGCTAGGATTAAAGGCCTGCATCACCACCACCTGGCCTAATTAATCATTCTTAACCATGGCTTCCTTAGCCTGGAGGGAAGTCTCCAGTCTGCAGGTTTCCCCTTTATCTTGAGGAACCTCTTCCAGTATCCCACTGAACTGAAGTAGAAGTTCTGGGTTGGCAGCAGAAATGAGTGCTTTGCTAAACAGCAGAGACTGGTCCCTGCAGCCCTGAGCTCTCTCTGGTGCTGAAGTAAAATACCATCTCCAGGCAGGGGCTGCTTGTGATCTGCATTGGGAAGGTAACCTTGAAATGGGAAAATACCTTAGTCTCGTGTGTGACTGTTTTGAAAGATGTGCTGGGAAGAGATTCAATATTGACTAGTTCTGAGGAAGGTGAAAGTCAGAGCCTGCTATTCTTCTGACACCACTCTTCATTTTGACAGCTGTTGTGTATATTAACACACATCAAAGGAATGGTCCCACCCCAAACAGACATTGGCAGTGTTTTCCCTGGTGTAAGCTAGAGAGCTGTGTGTGTGCCTACTGCTGAGTCCTGTCAGCCTGGGCTTTCACAGTGAGCACATGTGAGTTTTCCCATGAGGTGTACACACCTCCCTCCTGTCCCTTCTACTGTCTCTTATCTTTTTTGTTTTGTTGTTTGTTTTAGGTTTTTATGAGACAGGTCTAGCTATCCTAGAATACATTATATAGTCTAGGTTGGCCTCAAACTCACAAAAATCCATCTGCCTTTGCTTCCCAAGTACTGAAATTAAAGGGAGTTCTGGGATGAAAGGCATGTGCCACCAAGCCAAGCTCCTGTCTTACTTTTTTCAGAGAGTGATAATCTACCCTGTCATTTACCTTAAGTCCCCGGGACAAGGAAACCCTCTGTTCTCCTCCTACAACAAAGTTGTTATTTACTTGATTTACTTTTCTAGACATTTGCTCAAAGCCTGTGTGCATGTTTCTTTTTAACTCACCATTCATTAGTGTATAAATTGTTCCTTCTTCACTAAGTTAAAGAAGCATGTTAGTCCCAGAAACCATAGTCAAAAATGTTTGGAGAGGAGCAGGTGAGATGGCTCATTAAGTAAGTCACTTGTCACTGAGCCTGATAACTTAACAGTTCAGATTCCCAAACCTACATTGCAAATGGAGAGGCTTGGTCCCCACCATTTGACCTCTAACCAAAGTGAAGTGGGACTGGACCCTGGGTTCCCAGCTGTGTGAGAGGCTCAGAAGGAAGACCACAAATTCAAGGCCAGACTGGGCAACCTCAGAGACTCTCTGTATTAAAGGAAAAAGGAAAATCATATTCAAAATCATGTGATTTTTTTTAAGTAGACAAGTGATATTTAGAGTTCAGGTGTTTGTTAATGGTTCCTAAAGCTTATTGTTTGAGAAGGTCTGTTCATTCTCTTAGATATAACATTTTACAACATGCTTCATTTGGAAATAATTGCAAACTCACATGGTTTTAATGAGACTTTTGGCTCTAACCCAGTTTTTGTACTGATAATAGTATCTTACACATAACATACTTTCAAAACTACAAAATAATTGACATTAAAAGAGTGACTTGTTTTTTCTGTGTGGGAGGAGTCATTTGTGTTTTTGTTCTTCTTTGTTTTGGAGATAAGTTGTCCTGGAATTCACTATATAAACCAGGCCAGTTTCAAACTCAGTGACTCTGTTGCCTCTGCCTTTGAGGTACTGGAATGTAGCCCTAGCCCTGGCAAACCCTCATTGGTTCTCTTATGATTGTTTCATTTTGAAAATAAATTATACATCACATAGCCTGTTTTTTATATGTGTCTATCAGTGTGTGGTGTGTACATGTATGTATTCTTGTGTGTCAGTGCATGTGTGCCTTAGTCAATATTCTATTGCTCTAAAGAGATACCATGACCATAGTAACTCTTATAGAGGGGAAACATTTAATTGGGGCTGGCTTACAGTTCAGAAGTTTAATCCATTGTTGTCATGGTGGGAAACGTGGCAGCCCAAAGGCAGGCATGGTTCTGGAGAAGGAGCTGACAGTTCTGTATCCAAATCAGCAGGCAGCAGAGAGATAGAGAACATTTGAAACCCCAAATGTCCAGCCCCCAGTGACAGATTTGTCCAACAAGACCACACCTACTCTAACAAGGCACACCTCCTACCCACCCAACACTACCACCACCACCCCACCCCACCCCCTTCAAGTATTGCCACTCCCTAATGGTCAAACATTCAAGTATTTGAGGGGGGGCATTAATATTCAAATCACCACGTGTATGTGTGTGTGTGTGTATACATATATGCATATACATATACATATATGTGGAAGTCTGAGACTGACATTGGGAGACTTCCTCTGTCTACTTTATTCATGGAGACAGCGTCTCTCACTTGAACCCAGAGCTCACCAGTGCAACTAGTCCAGCTAACCACTGGTATTTCAGGCAGGTGAACATGCCCATTCAGTATGTATGTGGGTGATGAGAATCCAAACTCTGGTCCTATTGCTTACACTGAACCTTTTTCCATTCCTTAATATAATCTATTTGAGTTATTTTTTGAACATTCCATAATATCTTTGGCTTTTTCTAGTTGCTCACGTGTACCAGTCATTTGCTTTTTGTGTAGTTATATACTAACCAACTGTATGCATCAACCATGGATTCTTAAATTATGAAGTAAAAGACATGTTCTCCTCCGTAGTCTTTTAAATTTTAAGGTATTTGTAAGCTGTATGGTGATGGACTCGCCTTTAATCCCAGTACTTCAGAGACAGAGGCAGGTAGATGTCTGGGAATTCAAGGTCAGCCTGGTCTACTGTGAGCCAAGGCTACACAGAGAAACCCTGTCTTGGAAAACCAAAAGAAATATTTGTAGATTCACAAACAGTTATAGAAAGTCATATAGTGAGCTATTCCATGGGTGAACTAAGGAGATCTCAAATGATCTCTTTTCATTTGGCCCAGAAAACACAAGCATGGGAATCAAGAGATTCAGGTCTTATCACTGCACTTTAAGAACACCAGGAAGTTTTCAGCCAGTCAAAGCACACAAATCCAAAAGCTTTAGTCCGTTATCATCATGGTAAGAAGCAAGGTGTTATGCAGGCAGACATGGTACTGGAGAAGTAGCCAAGAGTTCTATATCCAGATCCACAGGCGGCAGGAAGAGAGAGAGACTGACTTGAGCGTTTCAAATGCCAAAACCCATCCCCAGTGACACACTTCCTCCAACAAGGTCACACCTCCTAATAATGCCAAACCCTTAGGGCCTGTGGGGGCCATTTTCATTCAGACCACCATAGCAAAGCCTTGCTTACCCAAAGCCTCACTTTTGATGTGAAGAGCAAAAGCGAATAAAAAGTCTCCAGGGTTCACACTGACCCTGTGCACTAAGCTGCAGAATGAGATTGAAGCCCTGCACAGGCCTGTGTTCAAGTTCCCTGACCTCCAGAAAAGCCACACCTCCTAGGACTGGGGCTTACCATGTTTAATGCACATTAATTTGAAGACATGATAGCTAAGAAGCTGCTTATTCCCCATGTCTGAGGGTCAGAGTCATTCCTCTGTGGTTCCCTGGTAAGTGGGAGGTATACTCCATGATCTCAGCACTTGAGAGGCAGAGGCAGGAGGATTGTTGCACGAATCAATCTAACCTGCGTGGAAGAGGAAGGAGAGAGAGGAAAACTGTTTATATTCTATAAAGGTATGGCCACATCCCTACACAAGTGAGTCTCCCTGACTTAGTTAAGTATGACAAATGACTCTTTTTGGTGGGTCTGGGTGGGCAGTGTCCCTGGTTGGTATAGAAGACATATCACATAAGCATGTTAGCAGTTCAAAAACTAAAACCTGGGGAAGGTTTCTTTTCCCTTGGGAGCCATACAGAAGTAAAAGCTAGGGCTCTAGCTATGGTGAGCAAACTTCCACCTTTGCTAAGGGAAGGGTTGGGGCAGAGAGAGAACCTTATTGACAGAAAGGTACTAACCCTCTTTAGCCTGGGGGTTAACTCCCCTCAACTGTGTCTCCTTGCTTCTCCCTCTTGAAGCATATATTCTCCCAGGAGAATTTTCCACATTGGCAGGGGAGAAGTTATAGGGGAAGGGGTACAAGAATTGCCTATACTATGAGAAATTTAAAAGTTGGGGAAGTGTGGGTGGGGAGATGGCCCAATCCTACACAGCCATGAGGAAGACCTCATCCAGGTCACCAGCACCCACATAAAAATCTGGGCATGGGGAATGGAGGGCTGGGTCAGTGGATAAGAGCACTTGCCAAGCTTGCAAGAGGATCCTGGCCCAGTGCCCAGAAGCCACATGGTGGCTCACAGTTACCTATAACTCCAGTTCTAGTGACTCTGATACTCTTCTGGCCTCTGGTGGCACTAGGCACACACATGGTCATATACATACATGCAAGCATGCAAACAAAACACTCATACACATAAAAATTTCAAAAGTAAATAAAACCTTTTTTAACTTAAAAAAAAAAAAAAAAGTTGTGTATGGCAACATATATTGATCCCAGTGCTGTAGAGGCAGAGACAGGATGAGTCCAGACAAATGGGTGAGCTCCAGGATCAGGGAAGAGAAGAGACCTTGTCTCAAAAATAAAGTGGAAACTGATGATGACAGCTAGTGTCAGCCTGTGGCCCCAACTATGTCCATACATGTACACACTAACATGAACATCAGCACACAACCAAAACCAAAATAGGCAATAAGGGTTATAGACAAGATTCTCAGATAAATTCGGGGGGTGGGAGGGGGTTAGATTTAAGAAGCAACTTGTTCTCTATCTGTGTTTTTACATTAGTTGTAGGTTGCTTTGTTTTGTTTACATTTGTCAGAATGCTCTTCATGACCGATAATTTTGCAAATGTCCTAGGACTGTAAAAGACCAGTGAGATAGCTCTGCAGGAATGGTCCTACTAATCCAATCCTAACTGGGTCCCAATCCCTGAGACCCACACAGTGGAAGAGTAAATCAGCTATCCACAAGTTGCCCCCTGACCTCCAAACAGAGGTGCACACATAGAAATTTTTTCTTAAAATGGCTTTAAATAAGTATCCCACAGCATTCTTTTATATATATATATATGTGTGTGTGTGTGTGTGTGTGTATACGTGTGTATGTATATGTGTATATGTGTGTGTGTATATACACATTTGTGTGTGTGCAAGTGTATCCATAATGTGTACATGTGTGCATTCAGTAACGAGGTCAAAAGCAGTGTCTTCTTCAATCACTTCTCACCTTACTTTTAGACATTGTTCCTCTCTGATCTCACCGTTTTATCTAGAATGGCTGACCATACCATGGGGATCCTGCTGTTTTCACCTTCCTCTAACCCTGGATTCACAGATGTCTGCCACTGTGTCCAGCTTTTTACATTGGTTCTAGGGATCATATGTTCATACTTACATGGCAACCACTTTACCTATTGAGCCAGCTCTGTGTTTTGTTTTTTATGAGACACTGACTCACTCTAGCTCAGGCTGGCCTGGAACTTGCTGTTTTTCTGAGGCTGGCTTCAAACTCACAGCAGTCCCCCCATCTCAGCCTCTCAAGTGCTGAGTGCTACCCCCTAGCTCACTTTAAGTTTTTAGGATGTTGTTGTTTCAGGAAATTCAGAATTGTCCAGAATGTTTTTTACCTTTTTTTTTTTTAAGTGTTTTCATGTTGGATATTATGGTAAATCATCCAGAGTCTCTACAGAGACAGTAAAGAGGTAAAATAATGTAAAATTTCACAGCAGTACACTGTAGAGAATAACTTATTTTATGTATAGAATATATTTTGCATGTTTGCGGGTATTATTAATATTTTGCTTAACCCTAATGCAGTTAAAGAGTTAAAATTTGGGCATAATTTGTGTTCTTTATCACGAGAATCTTAATATTGATGTTTAAATTTGATAATTGTTGAACTAAAAGAAGAGACGGTGGTGGAGGAATAAAGTGTTTCTAGAAATGTCTGATTCCTCTGTCTAAAGAGGGAGAAAATGCCTCGAAGCAGCTGACATGAGCTGCTGTCTATACTATGTGTCTTTTGTGTCCTGGCTTCCTCTATTAGTGTGTATACACTCCTCGGGGTACAGAAAGGACCAGTCCTGTGAACCTTTACTTAAACATGACTGTCCTCCTGAAATTGGGACTGAGATCCATATTGGACAGAGGAACTGAGATTGTCACCAAGTTAAGGGTTTCCTTGGTACTGGCCTCTGTGCCCTTGGCAGAGCCGCAGAGCAGTGGCCCCTGTGATCACGTGGGCTGTAGGGAGACACGCAGCACAGCTTGACACCAATGAAGCTGAAGCTCTGAAATCCATGGTTTGTATTAATGCAAGCCTCTGTTTGGTTGTCCAGTCATAAAGTATTTCAGAATGTCATAGACTGTCTTCACTTGAGTGCTTGAATGCATTTAGAACCAATGCCATCTCTGTGCTAATCTACTTTCTCCTCCTTTTCACAGCTGTCACTGAAGTGTAGAGCCCCTGAAGTCTCTCAGTACATCTATCAGGTCTACGACAGCATTTTGAAAAACTAATAAATGGGTTCTGTACCCTCCAGCCACCCTGTAATCGGTGCAAGCCAAGAACTCTTAACTAAAAGAAGTCGTATTGCTGTGTAGAGCCTGAACCCAAACACTGCGCCACCCACCCCGGTAGTGACCAGTCGCCTTGTGCTGACATTAGTATTCACCCTGTCAGATAGGTTACCTTCCTGTGACACATGTAACCCTGCTTCCATCATCCCCACCTCTGCTACCTGCCGCTCTCAGCCCTCCCTTGTGAGCTTCTCCATGCTGTGCCAATGGCTAGCTTTTTCTACACCCTCTTCTGAGTGTAGTTTGATATTTTGTAATCAAAAGCTCCTTTCACAGGCAGAAAAAGGCAACAAATTAATTAAAGCAAGGAAAAGTGTCACTGAAACATAAACTGCACCTTATTGTTTTATATTTTTGTACAGATGAGAAATTGAGGTAGAACAGTGAATAGGAAGGGTTAACTAACTAGTCAGGCAGTCTTAGAGGAGACACAGGACCGGCCCCTAGCCTGTTCTGGGGGTGGTGGGGTCTCTTGTCTGTGGCAACCCTACTCCTGGTCATTTGCATTTCCACTTTTCCCCTCTGTCCAGATTCGTCCCTTGGCCAAGCCTTCAAGCTCCCTTATGTCCCATGATCTCTCATTTGATGACTCCATGCTTGGCAGTGGTGGTCTGCATTGATGTTTCAGAGTGCAGGGACACTGGGCATGTAGGCTCAAAGCTGAGAGGTGGTAGAACTCTGTTATCATACTGACTGAGGAAGCTGAGGAGAGGTGAGTGAGAATCATAGTGTCCCCACCACCACCACCACCACCACCACCACCACCACCACCACCACCACCACCCCGCCCCAGCCACCTTCCCTGTGTTCCTCAGGGCCAACTCACATTGAAAGTCAGTGTTTTAGAGTTAAAATAGACCTTAATGGCTTATCTGACCTTGTTTTTCTATAAAGAAAGGTAATAGACAAAAAGTTTACTATTGCCAAGGCCTCTTGGCTCTTGAGTAGCAGAACTAAGGCTGTGGTTCCCTGAAGCTTCCTCAGCTTCCCTGTATGGCTGGCTCCTTGTTCTTTTCCTCAAAGCCCTCTGCCTTTCCTGTACTGCTTGTGGCTCTTTGCATACCCCATACTGAGTTTGTGTTCCACCATTCCCTGGTGTCCGGTGGCAGTTGACATCTTCTCAGTTACCTGAATGTATACCCAGGTAACAAGAATGAAATGGAGCTAACATCAGGCTCTCTAAAAGCCACCGTTCTGGAGTCCAGTCAGTGAGTATAGAGATGTTGCCCATTCTCATTATCCCTCTGCTCTCTGATCTGTTCTTTGTCCATGGTACTCAAGCTCCAAAGCAAAGCAAGATCATCTCAGAAAGCCATGTAGTTCTTGACATCTCTCAAAGGGCTGGGGATGTGAAGGCATCAAAGAATGCCTTTTAACCACTACCCTGCTCAGTCCTGTTCACAGTGTGGTACAGCCTGGCACCTGGTATTCAGGGTCCATTCAGAATCCCCTGCCTAAGTCAGCAGCATGCCAGGATCCAAACCTCATGCTGGATTCATCCCTAACCCACTGGACCCAGAGGAGCAATTGTGGATAATCAGAGTAAAGCCCAACAACTTCCTTCAGCCATGTGTCTGGAATGACCCTGTTTCCTCCCAGCTGCAAAGCTTCTCTCAAGTTCCATAAGCCTTGAGAATCTTTAAGAGAATTGCTGGCTGGTGGAAAGGAAATACATCCCTCCCTCACCATGCAGGGAATAGGAAATAGTACATGGTTGTGTGGGAGGCAGGTAGGTTGGTGATATGTTGGGTGGAAAAGCAAGTTGACAAAGTTCCCTTGTTGAGACTCATTCATGGAGTCAGTTGGATATAAGTGGTGTAAGGGGTTCACACTACAAACACAATTTTCTCATCTCAAAGCAAGCTGTAATTCCCAAAAGAAGAGTATGTGTCAGCGTAAGCAGAAAGAACAATTTTGTGCCAGGATGAGTTCACCCCCGAAACTGAGGCCCCTAAGCCTCTCCACCAGTGGCAAATAGCAATGCTGTACTCTGCTGGCCTAACCGAGCCAATCGGTGATGACCTGTGGGGAAGTCATCTCCTTCTTCGGATACTCCTTCACATGAAAGGGCTCTTCTGAGGAGGCAGTCTGTTGCCTCTGTCACAGCTTCCTGTCAGACCCCTTTCAAGCCTGACCAGATTGGGAGAGATGGGGTTAGGTCCTCCTGTACCCACTCTCCTTGGCTTAAGTATGTCTCTGTTGTGAGCTGGAGTACAGAGGGCAGAGCTCCTTTGGGTCAGATTCCCTGTGTATCTGTCCTCAGCCAAGCCTGGTCCATGTGTCTTGTTGTGAAGCTTGGGATGCTGGAGCCAGGTGTGTGAGGGTAAAGGTTGCCCTAAGAATGCTTATTCTTCTGTTCTTGTTGGGATTTGTTCTTTGGGGGGGGGGGGGAACTTGACCTTGTGTATTCATCAATAAACTCATTTACACAAAATAAAGTTTGTGGTGTATACTGTGTTCTCAGGACTGACACCCCAGGACAAAACATAGCTGGCCAGAGAAGGGACATTAGTAACCTCTTTTGCTGTTGGGTTTTTTTTTTTTTGTTTGTTTGTTTGTTTTGGTTTGGTTTTGGTTTTTGGTATTTTGAGACAGGGTTTCTCTGTATTGCTTTGGAGCCTATCCTGGAACCTGCTCTATAGACCAGGCTGGCCTGTAACTCACAGAGATCCACCAGCCTCTGCCTCCGGAGTGCTGAGACTAAAGGCGTGGACCACCACCGCCTGGCTTGTTGTGTTTCTAATGGCCCCAACCCTCCCAGGGGTTCAGCCAGATGAAATTAGGACTGAGGAAAAGCCTTCATCTCAGGAAGTCACCTGTTCAAGTCTCACCACAACTTCAGGAAGGTGTGTGCAGGGGAGCCAATCTCTCTGGCAGCTGTTCCCAGGACACTGAGTAGAATGGCAGTGGCCTCGTTGCCCTGGGTTGTCAGTATCTGCCAGCATAGCCAAGGGCAGGGACATCTCAGAGCTGATGCCCAGCATCTGTTACCCAAGATATCTCAGTACTTGGGTGCAAAAGCCACTTGAACTAGCTGCCCACATGTTCCCGAGCAAATGGGATAGCTGCTGCTCTAAAGAAATCAGCCCAAGAAGTCCAGAACTGTTTTGTATCGCCCTTGGGCAAGTCTTTTCACATCTCACAAGTATAGTTAGTTTGGAGTTTTTATCACTTAGTCACCCAGAGTAGTTGCTTTTGGTGTTGGTGTCCAGACAATGCCTTTGGCAACTAGGGCCCTCTGCTGGGCTTCCAAGCTCTAGGGGATCCCTGGGAGAAAATTGGTTCCCTAAGTTGAAGTTTAGGTCACACTACTGAAGAGTAGTCTTAAAATCTGTCTGGGATAAGGTCAAGCAATGCCCCATAGGGACTCAGCTCAGGAGCAGATGACCAGAAGAGCTTTTAATGAAGTAAATCAAGGTGAGGATGAGATGGTCCAGGGGTAAAGGCACCTGGCTATCTGAGTCACATCCCTGGAACACACATTGGGGGGAAGGGGGGACCAGCTCCCGAAAGTTGCCCTCTGACTTACACACACACACACACACACACACACACACACCATAGCATGCCTATGTCCCATACATACAAAGACAATAAATTATTTAAAGAATTAATATCTAAGGTTAATATTGAGTCAATCAGAATTCACTAAGGGAGAGATGTGCCTATTCATCTGTGCTCATCTATAGTAGTACTTGGGTTGCTGTGGTAGATAAAGCTCTTGATTATCCTGTTCCCCTACCCGTCTGAATTCAGGGGAGATGTGGCACCACATCTGACTGCATGGCAGTTTCCTTTCACTCCATAAAAGGTTTCCCCTCCTACTCACTATATCCAGCTTTGCTGAGCCCTCAGGATGACCATATGCTCAGAGCAGCTGACCACCCCCTCCCCCACGTCCAATTTAAACTCCAGATTACACTGTTCTCTGCCCCTGGGATGGGCGTCGGGTCCGTTGTTTCTGAGGACTCTCCATTCTGGGCCTTCCTCCTCCCACTGCATGCATTAGTACTTCCGGTCTTGCTTGGATCCTGGTTTTTCCCTGCTACCCTCAGCTCCAAGAAGCAAGAGCCAGTGCATTTTAATAGCTGGTGTGGCACTTGGGGAAGATCACACCTCCCCCGTTGTTACCCATTTCTACCTCCCGAACACTAATCCTAGAATCCCAGCCAGCCCCCAGACATGGTATTAGCAGCAAGGATGTTTCTTGAAAAGTTTGAAGTTGGCTTCGAACTTGCCTTCTCAATATCTCTGCCTTCTCAATTTCTTGTGTAGCTTTTGTCCTGCCTTGCTTAATGGCTGCCAACCAGGGAAAAACACAGTTGGGGGTTGGTCAGACCTAGGTTCTTGCTTGGAGAAGTGGCTTGGGAGCATTTGTTTGAGGACAATACTGCCATCTCAAGGATCTCAGGCCAAACCCCAACACCTTAACTAACAAAGTGCCTGTTGATATGGAGGATGGAAGGGTGAATTTCAGTATTAGCTGGCTCTCCTTCCCCTTCATACAGCGGGCTTCTGATATCTCAGTGGGAGTCTGATGGGACTGGGGGGGGGGGCTTGGGGTGGTGTTGTCTGATCTTTGTCCCCTTCCATGCTCTGGCTTCTGATGCTACAGAGGGTACTTGCTCACATAGAACCTGAGTTTGTGAGGTTGCCCCTCAGCCACCAGGTATCCTCAGCTGAACCACAGCCACAAGAGCCACAAAGCCAGACCCATCCAAGGACCAAACCGCTTGAACTTTCCCAACAAGGTAATCCTAAAACACAGAAGAGCAAACGGGCCCAAATCAGCTTTCAGCAAAGCCATGTGAATTAGCTTCACTTCAGGGAAAATACACTATTTTATAAAGACACTAACCACCACTGTTTCTTAAATAAAAAAGGAGAAGCAAGCTTTAAATGACATTCCATTGAAGGATAGTATGAGGTTCCATAATCTGTAGGGGAGAGCCTTGCTGGATTTCTTATTTTTAGTCCCCCTCAAACTGAAATGGAATAACAGAAAGCTTCAGTCCTCAGGCAAGATGGGGATGAAAGATTTTTGAGATGCAGTGTTAAAGGGTCCTGGATGATTTAATCAAACTAAGAGAGTACCAGTGACTCTACTGGATTCCCTTGGGGTCAATCACATCTGATCTCCACCCAGCCCCAAAGTGCAGCTCTAAGAGAGAGGCCCCGATATTCCTAGTCCTAATATTGTTCCAGGTACTACCCCAATCTTTCTCAAGCCCACATCCTAACTCTACGAGCCACTTAGAATAAATGGGAATGTTTTCAGGAAGTGGCATGCATCCTGAAAGATAAGACCGCACACTGGGGCTCCATACCATGTATTGTGTAAAAAAAACAAACACACACCTTAGCTCTGCAATAGTGGGGAAAGGAACCTGTTTTATAGATACAGATTTCTTGCCTTCATCACACAGTACAGGGCAGGGCTGGAGTCAAATACAGAGCTGTCTGACTTGGAAGCCAGGCTTAAGACCACTGCACTTTCTGCCCAGCAGAGAAGGAGACAGCAGTTGGGAAAATGCCCAAAACACAGAGCCCAAAGGGAGAAGGGAAAGAGGGTCTGTGAGCTAACTGGAGCCCATGGTAATAGAAAGCTTTGGAGGAGGATGCAGTCCCAACCTGGAAAACCCTTGGCAGATGAGTACAAACCAGTTTCTCCTCACTGCCCTAGAAGCATTTAATGCCCAACTGTGGTGCCCATGCAGGGCACCCAGTACAGGACTGAGAGTCAGTGACAGTTAATTTTCATTGTCAACTTCACTGGATTTGAAATCACCCAGAAAACACATCTCAGGGTGTGCCTGTGAGGGTGTTCCCAGAAAAGTCCCCACTCAGTGCTAAATAAAAAGGCAAAGGGGAAAAATGAGCTTCACCTAGCGTTCACCTCTGCTTCCTAGTTGCCCACATAGTGCCAGCCATGTCTCATTCCCACCGCTTGGCTTTCTGGCCACAATAGACTGTCCCCATAAACCATAGCCTAAATAAGCCCTACCTCCCCGAGATCACTTGTGCCAGGTATTTGCCACATCAAGAAAAGAACTAGAACAGTGTTTTTGAGACTCTTCGGAGAGCAGGAAGCTGTCAAAAAGGCATGCAAGCCACAGCATGAGGTCAGAGGATGTGTAGGCATTCTCTCTGAATCCTAGGGACCAAACCCAGGTCCTCACGCTTAGCAATAGGCACCTGCACAGGCTGACATCTTGCAGCCAGAGGTCTTGTCTTAACCTCTCCTGACATCATCTGACCCCATTCTTCCCAGCCTGTGGGATTCTGTCAGGTCTCTGGGCTCTCCTCAAGCCCCTACAATTGCTCTACTGACCTTTGTAAAGAGCTGACACCTTCCTTGACTTAGAACACAGAGCAATTTATCTTTGTCTTCCCCACTGGACTGTGAGCCCTCTGCTGAGCTTTTCTGTAGCTGCCTAGCTGATGGGTGACTCAGCCTTTGCATTCCACATTTTGCATTGAAGTATGAGGAGTTACTCATCGTTTCTCAACCTCAGTAATCTCGTCTGTAAAATGGGGGAAACAGAACGAACTTCATAAAAATGTTCTGGGGAGGAGGGTTAACTTGAGGATTTAGGCAAAGCTCTTACCACACTGGGATGTTACCTACTGATAAAAACATGTTAGTGAGAATTGTTTGAGAACAAATACAAAAGAAACTGCGCCCTCAAGCCTGGCAAATGCTGGGATCTCACAGAGGAGAGGGACTGCAGTTTTAGAGGAGTGGAGGTCATGCTTTGGCAGGGAACCAGCTTTGCTTGGCGCTAGCCTGGCCTGCTGTTCCCTGCCGCAGTGACCACCCTCTACTCCGTCCTCCAGGGGTGGAGGAGCAAGAACCTGGATGTCAGCACCCAGAGCAGGACACACACTGGGCACCTGCAAGTCACTGACTGACTAGACCGGTAAGGAGGGGGACCAAGAAAAAGCCCAGCCTGGGGCAGGGTGAGTGGCTTTGAGGTAAGGGAATCGCAATGAAGCCACAAACTCCGGGGCCTTTCCGGTCCCCGCCTCCAACTCCTCCAGATTCGAGCCACATTTTTCCGAGGGAAGAGCCGGGAGGGAGCTGAAGGTCGAGGTTAGGGACTGGGGGCTGGTCCCGCGGCGCCCGAGTGAATCCGTCGGGCTCGGGGACCCAGCGGAACCCCCCGCGCCCGCCTCCCCCTCCGCCGGTGCGAGTGGGGCGGCGCGCTCCGCAGGGCGAGCAGCTGAGCGACCCTCAGTGCTGCGGCCCCCCGCGCCCCAGCCCGCCGCGCCCGGGCCGCGGGCGGCGCCCCTCACTCTCCCCCCGGGCGGGGGAGCCCAAGGCAGCGCCGGAGCCCGGGGGGAGCGCGACCCCGCCGGCCAGGGCAGGGGGCAGGCAGCCGGGACGGCCCCGGGTAAGCGGGAGGAGGAGGAGCGGGCCCGCGGGGTGAGGGGCGGCCCGGGGGGTGGGGGTGGCGGGGAGGCGGCCGCGGGAGTGAAGCTGGGGCCGGAAGCCAGAGGGGTTCCTGCAGCCCCCACACCTGCCACCGATCGGGCCATCGGGAGCCCGGCATTCGGCGGTGCTCCCACCCCCACGCGAACGTGGTAGGGACCCCGTGCGAGGACGGTGCCCCTACCAAGGCCTTTAGGATCCCCTGACCTCCCCAATGTGGGGTAGAAACCCAAGTCCAGGCCTGGGAAGGGACTGAAAGAGGCTATGGCCCGACTGTGTGACCCCTGTCTCTTGCCGGGAGCTGTCTGCAGAATACTGCAGAATGCAGGCCCTGGGGAAGCTCAGGGGGCCTGGACCCTGCTTCCTGGGACAGACCTTTCACCCCCATATAACTAGGCATGTGGGTCTAGTAAACCACTTGGACCCAGGATCTGTGCCTGGGAAGAAAGAGGGGATATCTTTCCCCTTTGAGTTGGGGACAGGGCCACACTTAGGCCTAGTAGTTCCAGAGGCTGGCCTATTCCTAGGGGGCTGTTCTTGAACCCACTCCTTGGCTTCCAGACTGTACCTGGGTTTTGTTTCTGCTACTATTAAGAAAGAGTTGGTTTTTGGGACTTGAGAATCTGCAGGTAGGGTACACCCTGAAACCTCCAAGCCGCCACACCCAGAGTGACTCCGGACTCTTTCCTTGTTCTTTGCCCTCTCTTATTGCCCAGAGCTCCCCCATCCCCACCTGCTTGTGCTGTTATGTAATTAATCCAACTGAGTCTCTTTGCCAAGCTGGCAGCATCCAGGGTTGCCCCCAGAGGCCTAAGGACCTGAAGGGATGCATGTGGTGGAGGGTTGGTCCTGTCTCAGCTGGGAGCAGGCTCAGCAGAGGAGCACCTGTTGGGGAAGAGACATGCATGAGGCACATAGGAGGTTAGAGTCCTAGACTTTGCTTCCCCGATGCTCTAGGATCTTCTTTTGGTGGTGGTGGTTTATTTTTCTTCAATAAAATGAAAGGCATCATATACATGCACATGGGTGCCCAGGCACACACACTACAAGTATGTGAGTTCACGCAACAGTAAATAGTGAACCCTTCCAAGTCTGCCAGGAGGTCCAAATGAGCATCTGCAAAAACCTTAAATGACCAGTAGCCACTGTACATGGCATACCTACTCTATGCCAGGCACTGAACTTTCCACAAACAACCTCATGATACCGATGAAGTTTCTTGGCCAAGGTCATACTTTAGGTGAAAGGCAGGGCTGGGAAGCAAACCTTGATGGTTCTTACTCCAAGCCCTGTCTTTTATTTACCATTGTACATGCATACATATCCACAGATTGAATGCTTTGAATCAGGACAACCTAGGGGACATTCAGCTATGAATCATGCATATATGAAAAGAGCATACACCTGGCAGAACACATACACACACACACACACACACACACACACACACACACACACACACTAGAGAGAGAGAGAGCTTGAAAACCATGTCACCATCAGAACCTAGTAAACCTACCTCCCTGCACCCATTTACTAATTGTGGTTATCATTCAACCCAGGAGGAAGATTGTCTCCTTCCAGCTAAGAGATTTATTTAGGTTGTCTTGGAAATGGGGACTGTAGATGCCACTTTACATATGTGTAGAGCATGGCTCCAAAGCAGGTGTTTTACCCACAGGCCTATGGCTAAAAAGTCATCAAAGCTGGGGTTTATGTCCAAGCTCTAAAAGTCCCAGGCACTGAGCAAGCAGAAAGCTAATGAATTTATCTCTCAAAGTCCAGTCCCTTCCTGGGCAGCAGCTGTGTGTGCCAGGCCTGCTGAGCTCCAAGGAATGTCAAAGACTCAAACCCTGCTTTTAGCCTGTCACTGTTTAAAATCACTAAGCTTAAACATGATAAGCCCTGCAACCTGTAGAAAGTAGCTGTGTGATTTGGAGCACACAGAGCTTCTTCTCTAAGTGCAAATAGGAATACTTTTCCCTTAGGGGTGTTGTATTGACCCGAGGATAACCGTGTGTGCCGGCTAGCAGCCAGTGCTCAACTGTGTTGCTCTCCAGAGTCAATGCAATCATCTAGTTCAGTGGGACTTTGGGAAATACTAGGGGCATTTTGGGTCATCGTGGTACCTTGGAGGCTGCTGTGGGCAGTTATCTCTTGAGAGCCATAAAATTAAGATGTCTAGAATATGAGTCCTACACAAAAAGAGCTACCTCCCCTGAGGATGCCAAGAGGGCCTCCACTGAAATTCACTTTTTCTTCAGGATGTGACTGAAACCAAGAGGAGTTGCCATGTATTGCAGGCTTGGGGCTGGGACTGGAATTTGAATCTGCAATACTGGGCATTGCAGTATGCTGTGGTTGAGGAGAATCGGGCCACAGTGCACAGCTTGGGGGATAGATTGAGATAGGATTCTGGAAAAAGGAAGGCTGTCCAAGTGGCAAACAGCTTCAGCAAACATGCAGAGGTGAAAAATAACAGTACAGGTCTCGGGATGAGCCAGAGCACTGAGTCCACCTCTTGTCCCCCAGTCTAGGTGGTGGCCGAAGAGGGCCAGAGGCAAACAGAGGGAGCAATGGTTGGTCCTGACGGTGGCTGAGCCCCCAGCCCCTGGAATATGCAGCCCGGAGGAGCCCCAGGCAAGGACGCGGAGGCGGAGTGGGGCGGGAGGCATGGTCTCCACCTACCGGGTGGCCGTGCTGGGGGCGCGAGGTGTGGGCAAGAGTGCCATTGTGCGCCAATTCTTATACAACGAGTTCAGCGAGGTCTGTGTGCCCACCACCGCCCGCCGCCTCTACCTGCCTGCTGTGGTCATGAACGGCCATGTGCACGACCTCCAGATCCTAGACTTTCCACCCATCAGCGCCTTCCCTGTCAACACACTGCAGGTAAGCTGCCCATGTAGGCAGTTAGGCAAAAGGGGAGAGGAGGCTCCAACCCTCTCTAGCTCTCCAGCTCTGCCAGGGGCTCTACACCACACCCTGGGCCTCCCACCTTAAAACCATCCCAAGAAGTTGCTCATTTGTGTGCTAGTGTATTTCGAAGATGTTTGATGATTGTTTTAATGTGTGCCAGACTTTGCACTGGGCACCAGGACTGAATGGTCAGCAAAAATCGGATATGCAGTTTGCTTTCAAGGAACTCCTAGTCTGGTGAGAACAGACTAACAGACAGTTGTTATACAATGTAATGAATGTTGCAATTGAAGGAGATGAGCGAGCTGAAACAGTCCTGGCTAGAAGGGTCTCACTTACTCGGGTGTATGGAGTCACGGAGGAGGGTGATGTCTCAACAAAGTAGGGACACTAACGGACTGTTTATACACTGAGCTCTCCTGCCATGGCCTCACATCCTCATTTTCATCTGTAGAGGGTCAGCAGGACAGACCGAGACCTGAGAAGGGGTGTTCTCAATGACTCTGAAGACCCCAATCAGAACTTTGGCCCAAGGCCTTTTCTCTCAGGTACCCTACTCCCCACCCTCAGGACTGCCTCTGGGCTCCTTGCACAATTAGATTTAATCATCTCCATTGCCTGCATCCCCCCCCCCTTCCCCAGCTTTTAGAACCAGGGCCTCTACACCTTTCTCTCCCTCTGGCTCAAGAGGAAGTTGGCTGCATGGGAAGCTGAGCTCCCAGATGTGTTTGCTCACAGCAGAGTTCTCTAGCAGAGAGGCAGAGAGAGACCTGTGGGCAAATCATAGAGATAAGAATGAGCCCTGGCCGGTTGTGACAGCAAATGCAGCCATCTCTGCCTGGGACCTGATGGAACTCAGCAGTGTCTCGGCTACCCCAACAGAAGGGCCTTGGTTTTTGACTAAGCACCTGAGAGAAACCTGATCCAGGCATGTGATCCACGGTGTGGTGTGCCTGAGGTCAGGGCAGTGAGTCCCAGGCCAGCATCCTCTGCTTCTCACTTGGAAACATTGATGGAATCTGGCTCCGAGCTCAAGTTACTCTTTTCACTTTCAGTTGTATATTTATCTTTACTGACCTCAGAATGGGTCAGATGCGGTTTAAATACCTGAGCTGTGGTCTAGAGCAATCTGCGTCCTGCCTCTGCCCCTTCAACCCTATGGTTTCTCTCCCTAGCCATCTCACTGATGGTCCATTGGCATCCCAGGAAGAAACCATATTTTCTTTTTTTAATAATTTATTTATTTATTTATTTTGTATACAGTGTTCTGCCCGCAGGCCAGAAGAGGGCACCAGAGCTCATTACAGGTGGTTGTGAGCCACCATGTGGTTGCTGGGAGTTGAACTCAGGGCCTCTGGAAGAGAAGCCAGTGCTCTTAACCTCTGAACCGTCTCTCTAGTCCCTAATTTATTTATTTTAAAAATTTTAATTGCATTGGTATTTTGCCTGTGTGTATGTTTGTGTGAAGGTGTCTGATCTTGGAGTTACAGTCAGTTGTGAGCTGCCATGGGGGTGCTGGGAATTGAACCCTGGTCCTTTGGAAGAGCAGCCAGTGCTCTTAATCACTGAGCCATCTCTCCAGCCCCAAGAAACCGTATTTTCACTCCATTTCCATAAAAATAAACTCCATGTCCTATGTCTTGTTCAGGGCTGTGATTGTTGTTTGTTACTCAGGATAGAACCCAGAATTTAAGTTACCACTCGACTGCCAAGCTACATGCCCAGACTTCTACCTTGTTCTTGATGTTCTTATTAAGAGACAGGCAGAGGTGCTATGTTGCCCAGGCTGGCCTTGAATTTGAGTAGCTGGGGTTAAAGGTATGCACCTCCAAGCAGGGCCCATGCTTCTTCAACTTAACATTTTGTTTTTTGTATTTGTGGGGGATTTTGTTGTTATTGTTTTGTTTTCAAGACACAGTCTTTCTGTGTAGCCCTGGCTGTCCTGGAACTTACTATGTAGACCAGGCTCAAAGAGATACATCTGCTCTGCCTTCCAATCATGGTATCAAAGTTGTGTGCCACTACCGATTAATATTACAACTGGAGCTACTATTTCCTGTCCCTGTCTGAAGGACAGCCTCATTCTTTTCTCATGGCTACTCAAAACTCCACTATGAAGTTTCACAGATTCCCCTATAATTGGACAAATGGGTGGGTTTCAGTCCTATACCATTAGGGTCAATACCAAAATGAATAAACAGCCTCATGTGTAAGTCAGGTTGCACAAAGGTTTCTGTATTTGCAGAATCAGTTACTGGAAATGGCATTGCCAATTCAAAATATAAATAGACATGGAATTTAGAGGGTGTCTCCAAAGCCCCTTCTCTAAAAGTTGTATGTGTATCCTATGAAATTCTGGGATTTTTGACACTCTAGAACAGTGGTTCTCAACCTATGGGTCATGACCCCTTTGGGTGTAGCATATTAGCTATCCTGCATAACAGATAGTTATATTGTGATTCATAGCAAAATTACAGTTATGAAGTAGCAACAAAATAATTTTATGGTTGGGGTCACCACAACATGAGGAACTGTATTAAGGGGTCACAGCATTAGGAAGGTTGAGAACCACTGATCTAGAAGGTAAGAGAAGATATTCTTAGTGTGGCCTGTATTTGCATTTCTGATTGTGAGTGAAGTTATGCATTTTTCTATAATTTCTATACTTAAGGATTTTATGATTCTGGCTTTGCTTTTGTGTTTGTTTGTTTTGTTTTGTTTTGTTTGTTTTTCCCCTGAGAACTATTAATATCAATTGCCTGTTTGGGGCTCATATTATTAGGGATTTGTTTTTCTTTTTGAGACTTAGCTCAAGCTGACCTGGAACTTTTTCTATAGGCAAAGATGACCTTGAACTCCTAAACCTCCAGCCTCTACTTCCCAAGTGCTAGAATGAAAGGCATGCAGCATCAAGCTTGTATGTTCCTTCTCCTCCTGTTTTTGAGACAGGGCCTCTCTCTTCATTCATAGCCCTGGATATTCTGGAGCTCAACATACAGAACAAGCTGGCTTCCAACTCATAGCGATCCTCCTGCCTCTGCCTCCTGAGTGCTGGGCTTAAAGGTGTGCGCTGCCACACCTAGTAACCCTTTTATTCTTGATTGACCCTTATATTAGATACTAAAATCTCAAAGATTTCACTCCTGGAGCACAATTATAGGGCTTGGAGTACAGAAGTCCTAAGAAGGGACCTTGAAAGCTCTGTGATCAAATATCAACCCTAAGATTCTTGATGGCCGCTTTCTAGGAATAAAATAAAAGTAATACTTCCCTGAGTCTGAGCCTGTTACCTTCCATAGTCCCTTCTCCTTCAGAGGAGAAAGCTGAAGTTAGAGGGCATATGCAGTCTGCCAAAGGAGATGCCCAAAAACACGTGGCTAAGACCAGGCGACTGAGACCCTCAAGCTATCTCCCTGAGCTAGACTCAATAGCCATTTCTCCTCCTCTGTCTCTGTCTTTTTCAGCTATAGACTGGGCCCGGGGCTTGGTGTGTGATAAAGACATCATTACCACTGGGCTGTGTGTTCAGTCCATCCCTTGACTCAATACAGCCCGAAGATGGCCTCTGGGGGGAACAAATTAGAACACTATATGGAACACACTGGCAGGGAAGCTGAGCTTTCACCATCCCTCCCTCCAGTCAAGGAGTAGAGGGGCAGCCCAGCCAATCTGGAGCTTTCTGCTGTTCCCTTTTAGAAGCCTCCTGAGAGGAGTGAGTGGGAGGCATCCTGGGGTCCCCTTGAGGAGGCAGTATGTTGGAGGATGGGTGGGGCTGTCACCCTTAGTGTCTGGCAGCCTGTCTCCAGCAGCCTAGCAGAGGGCTTACAGAATGGAAGCTATCCTCCCTCCCTCTTCCCAGGAGTCTCCAGTCCTCATGTGGGGTGGGAGAGGAGTTGCATAGGCATGGAGGCCCCTGACCCCCCTCCCAGGTAATGGTGTCCCACCAAATCCAGTAGTCCCTGGTGTGGGAGGAAACAGGTTTATGATTTCCTGCGCTCTAAGATCTATCCTCTGCATCCTGCCTCTGCACCAAAAATTAAAACCTCAGCACAAAGATGCCATATCATCTCCCCAGGGAAACCCACTGCAGCATCTCCCAAGCCTTTGAGCTGGAAATGCCGTTCTGAAGTCAGACTTCACAATCCACGGCAGCCACCTAAGTCTGCCCCCTTCATTTTCAGCTGAAACTCACCTGGATTACCTGCAAGCTGGGCCTGGAGCTATGCCTCCACATCCGTCTGGTCTTCCTTTTTGCATGCACTGCAGGTGGAGCTCAGGGCCACACACATGCCAGGCTGTACCTTGTGACTGTGCTGCACCCCTTTCCTCCCCTTCTTTCCTGAGGGCCCTCATGAGAAGAGGCCCTGATTTTCTTTGTCCCCACAAGGCCTCCCTGAAGCTTCGGGGACCTCCTTTCTGCACACTGTCTTCCTGAACACCCTTTTGCAATTACATCTGTTGGCAGCTTAACTATCTAATTAATCCTCAGGGAACCTTCTCGTTAGCGCATTTAGCCTTTCCAAGGGCCTATTCATCTTGAGCTGAAGCCCCTCCATGAGAAGTTCTCACAGGCATGGTGATGCATGCTTGTAATCCCAGCATTTGAGAGGCAGATGAGGGAGGATCAAGAGTTCAGTGCGTTTGGGTTACATAGGAAAATTTAGCCTTTAAAACCAAGCAAAACGGTACAGCAAGAGCAATCCCGTCTTCTTGGAACTCTTTAGGCCACTGTTCTGTCTCCCTCACTCTGCCCCCTTATGCTTCCTGTCACTCCCCCCCCCCCCAAGCTTGCCTTTAGGCTGCAACCCAAGGACTGTTAAGTTAGGGATAGGAGTTACCTTGCTCCTGGTTGCTGGTGCTGAGTGATTCAGCACCATGGAGAGAGCTAAAACAGCAGAATTACTACAGTTAAACTAAAAACCCACTAAACAAGGGACGGAAGGAGGGAGTGTGTAAAAACAAAAACAAAAATAGGGTCCTGGCCAGACAGTGGTGGTGCACACCTTTACTCCCAGCACTCGGGAGGCAGAGGCAGGTGGATCACTGTGAGTTTGAGACCAGCCTGGTCTACAAGAGCTAGTTCCAGAACAGCCTCCAAAGCCACAGAGAAACCCTGTCTCCAAAAGCTAAAACACAAAAGAAATAAACAAAAAACCAACCAGGGTCCTGGCCCTCTTGGGTGCTCACTGCAGTTGTGAAGAACCAGAAATAGGATGGCTGTAACCAGGGCATAATCCAGACACAAGAGAGGATGGGCACAGTCCTCTGCTTGCAGGGACAGTGGCTAATCATCAAGCCTTGGAAAGATATTACAGTAGGTGCTCTTAGGGGAATTCATAAATGCACTTTGAACAAAGGACTGGATGGATGGATCAGACAGATGTAATCTCCAGATCCTCACAAGATAGTGTGGTGGGCCAGGAAGTCAGTCAGCCTGTGACTTGGTCTCTTCTGGCTGGGGAGGACAAGTTACAGCTCTCAGCACCTGTGTTTACTGGGATCCTGGCCTTCAGTGGGGGAGGGGATGAAAAACTCTGGTGTGGTGGTAGGTGAGAGCACTGTCTGTTTGACAGGGTGGCTGGGGGCTGGGAGGCCTCGTGGCTGCTCTGACTGTGGTACTGGCCGGGGGTGTTGCAGGAGTGGGCAGATGCCTGCTGCAGGGGACTCCGGAGCGTTCACGCCTACATCCTGGTCTATGACATCTGCTGCTTTGACAGCTTTGAGTACGTCAAGACTATCCGTCAGCAGATCCTGGAGACAAGGTGAGGAGCTGTGTCAGTCTATTGCTGCCTCGGTGGATGCCCTAATGCTAGCCTGTCTCCAAAAAGGGGGAACACAGGCAAGGGGGGGGACTTGGGTCACAGATGAAATGTATGCGTTTAGTGGTTCCTAGGTGTCTTCACCCCTTTCTCCCCCACCCCTTTTCTTTCTTTTTGGACAGGGTTTCGCTATGTAGCCAGGCTGGTTTTAAACTCAAAACCTCCCTGCCTCAGGGCTCCTAGTGCTGTAATTACAGATGTGGGTCACATACCCTACTTTGTTGACTCACTTTGGGACCCTTACTTATGAAGAGGCTACACTAATGATGGGGGGGGATATGGCCTCGAATCAGTTGACATATAACCCTCAGTTTCCTTGTCTATAAAATGAACTTTTTTTGGATCCAAAGACGTGCTTCTTTAGAGATGTAACCATCCCCAAGGGGCTAGGGCTGCACCTGAAACAGAGTACACGCTAGCGCGCAGTCTAGTGGTTTCGACACTGGCACCATCTTCAGATTTCTGCTTCGACCCGCAGGGTGATCGGCACCTCGGAGACACCCATTATCATCGTGGGCAACAAGCGTGACCTGCAACGCGGACGCGTGATTCCGCGCTGGAACGTGTCGCACTTGGTGCGAAAGACCTGGAAGTGCGGCTACGTGGAGTGCTCGGCCAAGTACAACTGGCACATCCTGCTGCTCTTCAGCGAGCTGCTCAAGAGTGTGGGCTGCGCCCGCTGCAAACACGTGCACGCCGCCCTGCGCTTCCAGGGCGCGCTGCGCCGCAACCGCTGCGCCATCATGTGACGCCGCGTGCGCCCTGCTGCAGCACTGTTCCAGTGGAAGGGAGGGTAGGGCCTTCCTCGGGACACCTGGGCTAGAGCGGGGGGGACCCCCCACCCCACCCCGAGGAGAACTCTAGGCTCCCGGCCTGAAGCACTCCTGCAGCCACACACCTCCCCACGAGAATCAGAGGGCGAGAGGGAGCCTCCCCGCCACTCCCCAGTCCTTCCCTCCCACCTGGGTCTCCCTGGACAGCCACCTTCAGTGCTGTAGTGTAGTGTCCGGCCCCAGGGGGCGCCACAATCTGTGGGCCAAGGGGTGAGTGTATGAAATGGAGAGTGGAGTGAGGAGGTGCTGTCTTGGCCAGGCCCCTGCTCATCTTCCCCACAGTGTGTCTGTCTTTGCCCCGTGTCCCCTCTTTCAATGTCTGTCCTCTCAAGTGTCTGTCCATCCTCATTTGTCCTGTCTTCCCTCCAGTGTCCCTTCCTGTCACCCAGCTCCGCTCACAGGGCTCTCATTTCGTTCATCCCCTTGTCGCAGGTCCTGGCAACTTTGTGATGCCAGGCCTTCTCACCGGCAGCACCACCGGCACAGGGCGGAGAGATGCAAGTGGCCCAAGGACCGAAACCAAGAGGTCCAAGGGCTGAGGTCGCACAGCCGTCAGGGAGAGAAGGCAGAGCTCTTCCTCATCCAGGGAGACTTCCCTGCCCAGCAGCCCCCAGAGACGCAACCACTTACCTTCCAGCCTTAACTCAATGGTCCCTGCCGGGTGCCCCTTACCCTTCCTGACCCCAAAGCTGGATGGCCCCTGGGCTAAAAATTCCTTTTGTTGTGTTTGACAGTGTGGAGAGGAAACTTCCCAAAGGATAATTTTCTCCCCATGATGCTAGGTCCTATTTTTCTGTTACCTCCTGCAGTGGGATGGTCTGCTATGCTGTGGGATGTTGAGTTGTGGGGTCTTGTGGTAGGCAAAGTGGTGCCCAGGTCAGGTTATGCCAGTGATTAATTCTGTGTCCCAGTCCCGCCTCAATCCAACTGTCTAAGACTCTGCCTTCATCAGGTCTCAGGTTGTCTTGATCAGTCTGTGTAGGGGCAGAGCCAAGAAAAGAATAAGGGAGCTTCTTGTGCCTGGGGGAGAAAGGCATGCATCCCACCCATAGGTGGAGATCCTCAGGATCTGACCCCTCGTCCCAACACCAGGTTGGCCCTATGCCCTAACTCACCCACCCCATTTTCCCCGGCTGCCTGGCCGGGTTTCTACCTCTCGTCACCGGAGCTGATCACTGTCAGTTTTGTACCGATTTAGAAATAATAATAATGGAGATTCTAGGAATGGCCTGAGGGACTGATGGGGGACTTGGAGGGAGGGAAGAAGGAAGAGGTGGTATCATGTCCCCTGCCCTGGCCTAAAAGAGTTCTTGAGGCTGAACCCTCAGCCTCAGCCCTGGTCCAGTTGGGAGGATAACAAGGACCCTTTGTTAAGAGGGGTACATAGGATGCCCAGCCTTTTACAGGGCTGAAGTGCACAGACCAGGAAATCAGGTACCCAGAGAGGTGATGGGGAGCATCTGGGGACAGGGGTGGGGGCGGGGAATTTATGGTGTTCCCGTGTGGGAGGGAATCCATGATTCTCTCTTTGGCTTCCCCTACTGAATCTCACTCCCTCCACCCAGCAGGGGTGCTGCAGTACAACAGCAGTGGCCCTGATATAAGCAGCCCAGCGTTCTTGGGTTCTAGCCCTTGCTGTCCTGCACAATTTTGGGCTAGTGACTTGCCCTCTCTGAGCCTCCCTCTGCAGCAGAGGTGGTGGCTCCCCTTCCCCACACTTCGGAGTGGCTGGGAGGGTAAAGAGGAGAGATGCCCACTTTCCTCTCCTGCAACTCCACCCCTGGTTCCCGGGGGGCATGGGGTAAAGATGGCAGCATCTCATGTGCCCGATCACCCCCCACCTCTGAGGCACCTGAAGTGAGGGTGGGGGAATTTGGGCCCCTGGCTGCCCTCCCCACCGGGGGGAGCCATTGGAATGTAGCCGCCCTCACCCTTTCCTCTTCATCCCAGGTCTTGGATTTCAGGTCCCTCCACCCCCATTCTGAGTCTCTGTCCTTCCCCTCCCCAACCAGGGTTTCCCACACAGGGTCTGGAAGTGTGTGCGACACCCATTGAGCTGTTATCGGAAGTCGGATTAAAAATCAGGGAGTGTTTTCCCTCGTTTCTCTACCTCAGTGTCAGCTCTGTTGCTCATGGAGGGAGGACTGGGTCCCTGCAGTGCACATGTGCTATGTGCAAAGAGTGGGGGCTCCCCACCCCAAAGTCCAGGTGAACCCAGGGGTCAAAGGGAAACGGTACTGGACATAACTGTTTTCCCTCTAGCTAACCACTGACATAGAGGACACCATTACCTGCCTTCACAGCTGCCTGGAAGTCTCAGTCCTAACTGCTTCTGCCTCTTCCTCCCAGTCAGGGCTCAAATTTAGGGCCTCGGAACATAACTTCTTAGACACAGAAGTGTGACAGATGCTGTCAAACAGCTCTCTTCACCCTGAGTGATCCCTGTTCTCAGGGCCAGAGGCAAATCTTTGAAGTCCTCCTCAAGGGTGGCCTTCAGGAGCCTGTGCAGAGCTGCCTTTGTCGCTGTCCACGGTCCTGACCTCTAGGACCTGGTAGGAAACCTCCCTTGCAGACAGCTCGTCCCCATCACCTCCAGCAGAAGCAATGTTTGTGGCTGCACCTCTCTACACTTCCACAGCCTCAGGGAAAGGACCCCAAAAAGCTGAGGCTCAAGGACAAACCCATGTGTGTTTAATAACCTACAGCTGTGGAAATGTCCAGAGGCCCACGAGCTGTTCATGGGGGTAACAATAAGATACGAGCTCTCCCCACCACCGCTGGCCAACAGTGGACGGCATGAGCTGCCCCTTTGCTCAGCTGAAGAGATGGAGTTTTCAAACCCACTCCTGACCAAGGTCCTGTCCTTCCTCACACATACATTGCACAGCACATGTTTTGCATGGTCCTCCCCATCTTCAAACTCTTCAGACCCAAGACTCCTCCTCTGGTGTAAGTTGGGTTCCATCAAGCTGCTGAGGCTCCTGGCTCTCTGAAGTCTTGGAGCTGTTCTCCAATGAGAGTCTGCCTTCTTTCTTTTTCTCTTCCTCCTTTTCACCTGCTCTATCCACCTGGCAGGTGCTCCCTCCCTTGCCACCCAATGTGGATTTCAATAGCCTGCTTCCAGGAGCTGTCCTGGCTGGACCCAGGTAGAGGTAGGCCAATGGCTTGGGAATTCTGGAAGGTCTTTTCTCAGGCCTGTGGTCTCTGCGGGGTCGGATTCTCGGTCTCAGCTTCAACTTGTAAATGGATGGGATCTTCTGGGGCTTCCGGAGGGTTCTCTTGCCCTTGCCCAGACATACCCTGGCTTTGTCAGAACTTGGGTCTGAGCATGAGTGTGTGGGAGCCTCCAGGGTGGCAGGCACAGTTAGAGTGGATGACACAGTCCTTACTGGGGTTCCCTTGGCAGTCAGACTTGCCTTTGTCCTTGGCCTACTCTCTCTGAATCCTAGCTTCTCTTTGGAGCTTCTTGGGTCCACATCTGGCTTAGGGGGAGCTTTGGAGCCTACGTTCCAGGCTTTCAGGTCCACTTTAAGGAGAGGTGGGGGCGCCTGGACCAGTTCTTGGATGACTTTATCATAAAGACTCCCGGACTCAGGCCACCCCCCACCTAGACTGGGAACATAGACTCCACTTCGAGGGATAACTTGAGACCTTGTACCCTGATTACAGGTCGCCCCCACCTCCAGCAGTTTCATGTTGGCCACAATCTCCTCTTCCAGACCCTGGCAGAAGGCTTGCTCTCTAGTCCTGCCCAGGGGCAGAGGGGCGTGCCCCCACCTCCACTTTTGCATGTCTAGGCTCCTGGGATCCTCCATCTCTGAAGTGATCTTGATGTCCACCCGACGGTCCCTATGGCTTGCTTCCACAGCATGATGCCTGTGTTTGGATCTATCCAGGTTCCCTGTGACTGCCCTTGATGGGGTGGATCCTCTCTCCATGGAACCTCCACTTTCAGCACCCAAACCACTTCTTCCTGGAGTCGGGGGTTGGGCAGGGGACAGCCGGATGGGGATCTTGGTGAACCCTTTGCTGGGGGGTGGGGACTGAATAGACATGGGTTCACTGAGCTGTGGGGAAGCTCCCCTACTCAGGAGGCAGAATCTGTGAGGACTGGCTAGGCTGGAGGAACGCGATGGGGGAGATGGTCCTCTTGCTGATGTCCCTTTACTAGTGGCCTCAGTGATTTGGAGCCTCTGAGGGGTGAGGGCCTTGGTATGTGTTCCTCGGTTGTCTGTTTCCTTGTGAACCCAAGATATGGGAGTCCTTCCTTTGGACAGTTCACCTGGCCATCTATTCTCTGTCTTTCCTGACAGGGCACTTCGTAGGGCTGGGCTCCTACAGGTAGATGAGAATTGGGGACTGGGTGACAAAGTTCTCTGAGATGGGGTCATTGGCCTCTCTTGGGACCTGCAAAGGAAAAAAAGTCTTGAAAGAGAGACTTGGAACCATCAGCAGCATTCCAACGGGAATACCATGGGGTACTAGAGAAGCGGTGTTCTTCCCTAGGACTGACCAAGAGGAACCTATGAAGCGTTCTTCCTGCCTGTTCTCCCTTGTTCCCCATGTAGCAGATAGAAGCTGACTTCAGAGGAAGATCCCAGCCCCGAAGATGATCAGAAGTTATCCATATTTGGGGCTGGTCTCAGTCTTAATCATGAAATCAAAGGACAGTCAATATGGCCATTTCTTTCCTGGACCTCAGTTTCCTTGGCTGCAAAACGAGTAGCCATTTGGAACAATGAGATGATCCTTAAGCTGTGGGTACTGTTTTGGTTGGAAACACCTGAAGCTTTGTCTTGTTCTGTGGCCCTGGGCTGTGAGTCCAGGGTCTTGTGCATACTAGGGGAGCATTATCCCATTGGGCTATATAACCTTTCTCTTTTAAATTTGGTTTTGTGATATGGCCTCCCAAAGTAGCTCAGGAAAGACCCAAATTCACAATCCTCCTGCCTTGGCTGCCT